TCATACTTTGGATATGTTTTCAGGAGTGACCAGTCTCTGGAGAAGGACATTATGGTTGACCAGTGAAAAAGAGGAAAACCCCCAATGAGCTGGATTGGCACAGTGGCTGTAACAATGGGTTTAACTGTAACAACAATTGTGAGAATGTTACAGTACTGGGTAGTGTTTTGTTCTTTTGTACATAGGGTTGCTATGAGTCAGAACCAACATGATAGCACCCAACAACAACAGTGAAGCAATTTTAAAAACTGGATATGCTTATTGGATGTTAGAAGCTCAAGTTGAAGTTTTTGTTTTCATATATAAATAACATCAGAATAAAATCAAAATCCTAATAACATCCACTACATGTCACCTTCTGGCATTAGAATGTTCTCCTGGTTTAGGGATCAATGAAGTAAGTCCAATAGATAAGGAGAAAAAGAATATTAATAGAATCCACTAAGATAACAAGTTGAGATTTGTTTTGACTTTTTGATATGTGTATCTGAGATTGGTGGGTTGTTATTTATATTATGGACTCTTCATTGTAATAGTCATGGTAAGTGTCAGTACTTTCTTGAAAAATAAGGGATAAAATGATGCTGCTCTCTGAGGTTATTTCCCATGAAAGTGCATCAAATGAGAGATCCCAGGCAACGGACGTAAGGAACATTTTGCAGAGGTATATCTTTTTCAGCCTACTGATTTCCTACAGATGGCTAAAAGCAGCGGTATGGAACATGCTGTCAGATTTCATTCATAACACACATGTACTATAGTTCTAGGCAACAGATGGACAATCGTTTGTTTAAACTACAAATGTGAAATACTAAGGTAGAATTGCAATATTTCTAGAAATGTATATGAAAAAAAAAAGCCATTCCAAGCCAAGAGGAATGGTGAGAGGCTGTGAGGTTACATGAGTGTTTCCCTGATCTCCCTAGCAGCTGCCATAATTTCCCCAACACCCTTCAAAACCTGATAATGGAAGGATCAGGGGGCAACCGACACACATTTGACAAGAGAAGCCTAAACCATATCAAATAGAACTAACACTGTTATTCCTGGCTGGTTCACATTAATAGGATTTTGACTAACTAGGAAAACTGTCGGAAGTTGTGTTTTCAGAGTCCTGACAGTATTTCATTAACTCTTTCCTACAGCCCCACTGAAAAAGCGCCCTCTTTCTCCCTCCAAACCCAAATGCAAAAGATTTATTTAAACAAAGTTAGAGTTTCATATACTTTAGACATCACCATAAACATCTTTGTAGGCTCTTTCATTGTAAGATGGCAGGTATAGTGTTCGTAACTCTATCACAATAATCAGCATATACTCAATGAAATAATTTTAATTGGAGAAGTTGCTTCCATGGAAATAATAAGGACAAAAAGACAGAGCTCACATCTTTGAGTGTCACAGACAGCCAGCATCTCTAAACTTCCACGCCTTATGCTGACACAAGTGACATGATTTTGAGTTTTTCAGGTTAATTTTGTTTGTCAAATGAGATTGCACATGGAGTTAGTTCAGTATGAGCTGGGGATCTGTACAGTTGGAGTCTCTTACTTTAGGATAGTCTGCTCCTCTTACTGTTAAGTGCTGTCAAATTGTTTCAGACTCATAGTAACCCTGAATAGGGCTTCCAAGGAGAAGCTGGTGGGTTTGAACTGCCAACCTGTGGTTAAAAGTCCAGTACTTACTGGACAGTACCACAACAAGACTCCACAGAACTCATAATTTAGTAATTTTGTGGTTTTGTTTCTTTTTTATCTTTTCTGTATCGCCAATGCTATGTTGTTAAGTACTGTGGAGTCTGTTCTGACTCATAGTGACCTTGCATAGGGTTTCCAAGAAGTGGCTGGTGGGTTTGAACCGCCAACCTTGTGATTTCAAGTATAGTGATTATCCTATAGCACCACATCAGGACTCTGATGCTATATAGGATTACAAATATTTTTGTTCTTGACATTTAAAAAAAAACCCAGTAATTTTACACATTTTCTCTTATAGGCTGTATAATGATCTTTGCTATTATTGTTACATTTAAATGATAACAATCAAGGCAATATATCAAAAGGCAATAAGATTATAATCATTAAGGTAATATCTTTATCTCTGTTATAGGGAAAATCTCATGTAACTACAATAATAAAGAGTGATTTGGTATTGTTTAAATCAAATGAGTAATAGAAAGGAGAAGAAAGCAATATAAATCACATATTTTTAAAAAATCCTGTAATAAAATATTGTAGGATCCTTTCCTTATTAAACCTTGTGAAAAAAATTCTAAATCTAAATATTTCTGAATATGAAGTTGTGCACATTCATTATTTAAAAAGTATAAGTCTATATTAAAAAGAGATTTACTTTAAAAATCTTTGGTAAAGATACTCTGAGGTTATGTGATAAAAATACACTCTAAAGATTGTAAGCAAGCAGTACTGTGTTGGCAATGCCACAGTGATGGGTCTGAGAACTTTTCTTCAGTGGATGTAAACATTCAGTTACATAAGAAGTGAAGTGGAACAAACAAGTAGAGTGTTATTGCATTTTTATAGTATAAATATTTCTTAAATTCTTATTTCGGAAAACTTATATTCCTGTGGCTGTATTTCCTTGGATAAAAATCTATCCCTCAATAACTTGGAATCTCTACTTTGGGCTGAGAGGTAATTTTTCACCTCCATCCCAATTATTTCATAGAAAACAAGTTATTGAACCAATTCACTATAATGAATTCAAGCAGATTATACTATCATCCCGATTGTCTAAAAGTCAGTGATCTTTGATGTCACCAGCATGGTCTGACCTTTAAGTTGGAGGACAGAAAATCAGACATACGGTGGCCACTGTACCCTACAACTTATCTGCAGCACCTAAGTGAATCGCATTATAGTTCACATTAGGAAAAACACAAGATCAAAGATGAAAATGGCAAAGGAACAGCAGTTAAAACTTGTAACTTGGGTGGTTCAAAACAAAACTGTGTGGTGATAAAAGCAAAATATCCCCCCAAACTTAGATGTGCTATGGTGACAGTGGGCTTCTTGTTGTGGTAATAGTGGAGTTGATATATGACTCACAGAGACCCCATGGGACAGTATAAAACGGTCCCATAGGGTTTTCTAGGCTAGGAGCCGCTGGTTAGGTTCACAACAACAACCTTTTGGTTAGTAGCCCGATGCTTAAACCATTGTGCCACCAGGGCTCCTTGACCATGGGCTTAAAAGGCTTTTATTGATGATGACTCCTATTCAACCAAAATAAATTTATTTGCAATTCGTGAGGCATGAGGTGCAATTCAAAACATGCACAGATAATTTCTCATTTCTATTCTAGATGTTAAAATAAAAATTTTAAAAAGAAAAATCATCACACTATAGATTACCTGATTCTATCATGCTGTAATCTTGAAGAAAATGTGTAGAATCAGGAAGGGGTACACAGGGGGATGTAACTATATTTGTTGTATTTGATTTCTTAAACTGGTGGAACATAGGCATACAGGGATTAATTATATTATTATTCATATCTTTTTGTATATCTAAAAAATATTTTATAATTTAAAAGTATATATTTGTGAAAGAGCTGAAGGAAAGTTTAAGAAATCTCAGTCCCAAACACTTCGTTATTATACAAAATGGCAACCTGCTGTTAAGTGTCTCTCCTTAAACACTTTAGAACCTAATGAAATATGGTTGTGCAGTTGGCAAGCAAGTGTTTCACTGGCCAATAAGAGTTAGAATAAAAATTCTAGGCAGAGACCCTGCATATTTTTAGCTCTAAAAGGTAATTTTTTTCCTAGTGATTGTCTATGAAAGTGTGGTGTAAATGTCACATCAACGATACAAAATGTCTCTTGCAATATGTAATTTGACTTGCAAAGGATTAGGAGAATAATAAAACTGCGGTTTCACAATCTTTTCAAGCATTCTTCTCTTTTTAAAGTATTCTAAACATAACTACAATGTGATGTTGTGTGCCCTGACTTACAAGTGTTAGGTAGAAAGTGCCTGGGCTTCGGGTTTAAGGGGTGTGGGTAGGGAATTGGAAATTGGTCTTTATGGCTATCTTCCTTCTTCTAGGGAAAAAAAAGTATCCATTTTGGTAGTTGTGTTTAGATACTAAAGAAAACATGGCAATATGTAAGATGACGACAAGTAGCACTGTATTGCCTACCTCAAGTCCTAGAGAAAATCAAGTCTACCAATATTATTATGTCCAGGCTATGTGCAAAGGAAAATCTCAAGCTAACATAGTGGAATAATAATTGGCATTCCAAACATACTCCATGATGCTTTTCAAGCAGGTCCTACCCATAATCCCATTATAAAAAACACTAAAATGTGTTTCCCTTCCACCTCTCATTAGCCAGAGGTTAATTTTTTAAAGGAGCCTTTACCTCTCTGGTCACTACTTAGTAGAATTTGGATGATTTCAAATTAAATTTGGACTTATTTTTACCTTTGTTATATACAACTTAAATTCTTTGTAGCTTAAGCTACAAACTGCAAATTTCCAAACAAACAGAAAAAAACCCAAAACCATAACTGATTTTGAGCAATGGAAAGTTAAACAGATCTACTTTTAAAACATACAAAAAGAATGTTGAAACTTTACGATCACAGGCACCACAGATGGTGATAGGATAGAACCTTCAAGCCCAAGCACCTGGGAGCTGGCAGCCTCACCCATGAAAAACTGCATGACAGCAGATACCACACTAAAAAATAAAAAAACCATTCAACCAAATGAAAAGTGAGACAAACACAGGGATTAAACATAACAGGAATGCAAAAGTGAGTGGGATGGAGCATAATCCATGTAAAATTGTGGCAGTCCTTGGGAACAAAGGCCCAGCAAGGCCCTGCATGATTAGATGTGAAAAGTGTATTTGGTAAGAACTTTTTAAAAATCTTATATTCTATGTGTTTCTAAAGAAAGGTTAATAGCAGGTGACGAACAGAGACCATCCCATAGCTTGACTTCCTTTCCTCTATTGCCCTATTTTTTTTTTTTTCTTATTGTTTTCTTGTGTTTCGTTTTTCTCAGTGCCACCCACTAACCAGGTAATAAGCAGATGGCTCTAAAGGTCAGTGCTAGCCTTGGCGGTCAGCACCCTGATGCGGGCAGAGTTGCAGGTCTTGCAGAGGATGTGTCCATCCAACGGGTAGCAGCCCTGGTTATCTCCTTCAGACAGAAGACCACCACAATCCTAGAAAAAAGGAAGACATATGGGAGTGATGGAAGTGAAACCAACAGAAGGTACAGAAGATACAATTCCTTAGCTTCCCATTCAAATCCCTCCCAGTGACTATTGTTGTTGTTAAGAGCTGTCAAGTCCATTCCGACTCTGTATAGATTTTCCAAGGAGTGGCTGGTGAGCATGAACTGATGACCTTGGGGTTCAAAGTAACCTTGCAGTCCAGTGCATTAACTTGCAGCACCACACCAGGACTCCATACTGTCACTACTTATGATTTTTCTATTCCATAAACCACCAATCCCCTAAATTACTTCTCCCAGTACATAACATAATATCTCTTTAATGTCCACCCGCAGAGTCCTAATTGTCCTAGTTCGACTCTATGGGCCAGTCTCCTGAGGATGCGATAATAAGGAAGTTCATCTTACTCTTTACAGATGGAAGAGAGAACTGAAAACTGAGGCATTCAGGAGACTTGTAGAAAACAAGACAACTGCTTCAAGAGTGGAGTTTGGGTAATTTATTAAACCAGAATAAGAAAATGTTTTAAAATCATTTTACTTTGTGGATGGTGCTCTTCTGATACCCAAATGATCGGGGGTGGGGTAGGGGGTGTAGAGAAGACTTCTAGTGTTTTGCTGTCTTAATGGCTATTTATCGCCTGGGCTTCAGTTGACCTCCTCTGAGAAGACTTCTTTGTCACTTGCAGCCTAAATTTTAAATCTGCTCTATGTATTCCCATAGCACCTAGTGACAAATTCTCCCATAACCCTCAGTATTCATCTGCCTCTTGTCTGAAGAGCTCAATGACTGTTAAATAAATACTGCTTCATAACTTTACATGAGAAGTGCCAACTCCTCTGACATAAAAGAATTATTAGCCCTTCTCTGTGGGTTACCATGGCATCTCTGCCCCATGTTGGTGTTGTTAAATGCCATCTAGTTGATTCTGACTGTGACTTACAGCAGGGGTGGGGAACTTTTTTTTCTGTCAAAATTTATAGCATCATTCGTGCTCTATACAAAATTATCAACTTAAAAATTAGCCTGCTATATTTGGCCAAACTAATGAACTCATCCCTGTGATGGTTGGAACTGATTGCCTTGGCACAGCCAGACCAAATGATTTCTTGGAACTCTGGAGTCCTGCTGTGGCACTGTGGGTTAATGCACTGGACTGACTGCACAGTCATTTGAACTGCAAGGTCGGCAGATCAAGGTCAGCAGCCACTCCTCGGAAATCCTATACAAGGTTGCTATGGGTTGGAACTGATTCAAGGGCATTTATCAACAACATAAAGACTGCAGGCTGGATGCTCCCCACCCCAGCTGTATAGGGTTTCTGAGGAGCAGCCGTATGGTGGATTTGAACCTCCAACCTTGTGGTTAGTAGTCCAGTGCTTATCCTACAGAGTCATGCCAGGGCTCTGTAAGAGCAGTTAACTGTATCAGAGCCAAAGTTAAAGATTCAGTATACTACTATTACTAACAATAATACCATTTCTACTAATTTAGCACTTTAACATTTATAATGCCCTTTTATATATTATATTATATTTCAGCCTCACAACCATACTAGGGGAATTTAGAATTTAAATCCTTTTGAGAGGTAAAGTAATTCAGCCAATGTCAGATTTAAAATCTAAGCCCTATGTACCCAGGAGTTAGGGTCTTTCCAAGATTAATCAATACATTTATGAAAACTCAGTTCTAATAGGACTTTCAATGGCAGCCATTACTGCATGTGGTACCAGGTTGCAGGAAGCTGACCACAGACCTCACACCGGTAGCAGTACACATGGAAATCACGATCCAGAGCCACAATGCGAACAGTCTCCTCCTGGCCTGGGGCTGGCATAATAGGCTCCTTGCACACAGAACATCGAGGGGCAAATTTCCTGAAAAGGAAGAGGAAGTTATGATTAGATACCAAACACTAATACTGACAAAAAAGGTGAGACACAGGCAAAAAGAAGAGGGTATAACTCAAGCGTTTTGAACACATGACCTGCCTGCCATTCCCATGTAACCTTCAGTGAGTCATTTTGTGTGTCTGGGTCTATCGCCTCACCAGGACTCCATATAGGATGACTGATAGCCTCTAACATTTCTTCTCTAAATAGATAAGCAAAGTGCAACTATAGCCTATCCTGGTGTGGCACTGCGGGCTAATGCGCTGGACTGCATTGTTGGTTTGAACCACAAGGTCAGCAGCTCAAGCTCATCAGACACACCTCAGAAACCCCAGACAGCGTCACTATGAGTTGGAACCGATTCAATGGCACTTAACAACAACAACAACATAGTTTGTGTAGCCACCTTTATCTCTTGGAATTTTGGGGTGCCATTGGGAAGGTATGAAATGAGACATGATTTAAAATGGACATGGATGAGAACTGGAGGGATTTAACAGAACAACAAAAATCAGACTATGTAGCTCAGTTTTTTAATGGTAATGTTTTTCAGATTAACGATGGTAACATTTATCTATCTGTAGTGAGATTTAAAAAGAAATAATGATAGTAATCTAATACTTTGTAGCATGCTTTATGGTTGTCAAAGCATTTTTACATATATTATACTCTATATGTACATATTAATTTTCCTGGCAGCACTCAAAATGGCTGTAATCTAAATAAATATGAATTAAGCAGCAGATCAATTGATTGCTATGAAAGAAAATTTTAAAAGATCATGGTACAACTGCAGCAGTAATCAGACTTGTTATAATTGGTATTTTATGCACGAAGTGTATACTCAGTGGCAAAAAAAAAAAAACTGCTTTGGACTACCTAATTATTTTTTGAATCTGGGTCATCAGAAGTAAAAGAAGCAGACTTTTCGGATCATCTGCAAAATTTCCTTCCTCCAAATCCACTGAGACAGTAAACATTTACAGGACAGATATATGTCTTACCTACCACTTTATCCAGAAGCTTTGCCGAATTTCCCCAGGTAGTAATTATTTATTCCACTAGGTTGATAGCTATTTTTTTATATGCCTATTTTAGTAGCAATTATATACATATCTTTGGGGACCACTAGATGGTGAGCTTCCAAAAGATAGGACTTTGCTCCATCTTTGAGTCTCCAGAAACAACCATTGTCACTTAGAGAAGGAATAGAAATTCAAGTGACATCTAATGAACTCAAATCTCTGTTATATTTCTCTATAAAAAAGACCTTGTTTGTACTTTTACATTCGATCTCAAGGTCCTTCTCTTTTGGAAAGGCATAAACTGTACTCTTGATGAGTAATGATTCTTTCTACCATTGCCCTCATTTTCATGATGGAGAGAAGTAAAGGGCCGAGACAGGACGTAGTTTCCACAAGTCCCTGCAGTATTCCTTGGCTAGAGTTCCTTACTGTCCTGAGACTGGGAATACAAAATAAAAAGGACTGCAAGTGACAGACTACTGAAGGAGATTTCATAGATTTTTGTTTGTGTTTTATATATAATGTGTGTAAGTATGTATCTCCTGCTTTCTAAAGTGAATTAAAGTTGTTACTGTTAAATTATATGCAAACACATATGGACATACCTGAACTCTGTCAAACTGTATTAAGTGCTATCTATAGCAGATATACAAAACTTGACCAAACACAAAGGAGATATCCATTCAAACATTGGGATAGGGAGCAGCTGAGACCAGAGATAGTTTCTTATAGTGGAGTGAGTATCTAAGTTGGGCCTTGAGATTTAGGAGAAATGTGAAAGTGTGTGTTTGCTGGAGGTGGTGGTGGTGGAGGAAGAACATAAATCAGTTAGGGAACTTGGTTTGCTGCAGTCATGGGTCATCAGAAATGACATCTGGGAAAGTGCTCATGCCCAACAGTCTAGAGAATGACAGTCAACTTAACTGAAGGTTGCTGTAGTGGAAGGCCCATTAACAAGGTCTCAAAAACGGTATTTCAGAACATTATCATGCCAAGTGCAGTCCAAGACCACCTGGGAACTTGTCAAAAATGCAGAATATCAACTCCAACCAACATCTACTGAAGGAGGATCTGCAGTTTAACAAGGTCTCTAAGTGAACCGTAAACAAATGGAAAGCATTGGTTTAGACAAGAGGATACTAAAAAGGCCATATAAATCCTTTCTCACTGATCTTCCGGATCTCACCATAACTCCACCCACAGGCTGCTCTAGTTGGAGCAAAGCAAATCTTCCTTGAGTGTAGGGATGCTGAGCCTCGCTCTTCACACTTGCTTTTACCCTGAGTTGTTTCTTTTGTCAGCAATTTTATTTCCCACTTAAAAACTTGCTTTATCTTTAGTTCAAATTCTGCTTTCATGAAGCTTACCTTGATCTCTAGAGCCAAGTCATCTCTTCCAACTCTTACCTGTTACTTAATCTCGAGATGTTTAGCCCTTTCTGCTTTACATCACAGTTATATTGGCAAATATTGCCTCCCTTTCTCCCTAGCAAGAACCTTGCTGAGAGATTTCTCTGTATGCACCTATGCAATTTCTATCATATAAACTCTATCATCTGTCTGTCATACAGTGTTGTTCTGAACTGAAAGCTAGGTGACTGCTATTCCAAATACCAGTAGGGTCATCCACTGTGGAGAGGGTTCAGTGGAGCTTCGAGACTAAGGCAGAGTGGGAAACAAGCCTTAATGACTGACTTCTGAAAATTAGCCACTCCCTGACTTACTTGCTTCAGACACATCATCAGCAGGGATCAGTCACTAAAGCAAGACATCATGCTTGGTGAGATAGAGGGTGTGGGAGCTCCTCCGGGTGATGGATTGGGATGGTAACCACAATAACGGACCTGAATATACTGGGGATAGTGAGAATGACACAGGACGAGGCAACGTTTCATTCTATTGTGCATGGGGTCTCCATTACTCAGGGCTGATTTGAAGACAACTGACAACAATTTTTCTCAACTTAGATCTCTTCTCTGGCATTTAGCACAGCATTTGGCACACAGAGAATTCCCTGTAAATGTGAGTTGAATTGGATTAATACATTTCCTAAAAGCTCATGAAGGGAGATGAGACTTATTCAGAAGGACCAAAACCAAGGCCCTATAAATTCCCATCTGAGAAGGAGATCTTATGTATTTCCCCTAGTAACTTTCTCCTTGGCTTGTCAATGTCTCCTCTGTGCTGCATCTAAAGTTGCTATTGGTTCTAGTACTTTAAGGCCTAGAAGCAGAGTTCTCTAGAATTTCTCTTAATTCCCTTGGGGGAAATCAGGAAAACATCAAAAAGCTTCTCCCCTACATACCTGCCAATCATGCAGACAGACTTATTTTTTAAAAAATAATTTATGTTTTAACATGTCATTGAACCACTGGTAGGGTGGGGGGGTGTGTGCTTTTCCCTTTTAGAAGCTTAAGTCTGCCTTTCTGGAGCTTTCAGACCCACACACTTATGTCACTAGTTGCAAGTCGTCTCTCATTAGGCTCCCCACCCCTAGAAATGAAAGATAAATGGCAGATATAAACTTACATTTGTCAGAATTGATTTCCTGTTTTAATTGAGGGCTGTAATACATCAGTCTTTTACAGCAACAGAAACATGTGTGCTCTGATTCTATCTATCAGTCTTTCTTGGATTAGGGTAAATCTAAGAAAGGAGCGAAACAGTGACAGAAGCACACTCCCTGTTGGTATCTTTCCACTTCCTTAAATAGATGCAGGTTTTGTGTTTTTTTTTTTTTTTTTCCCCTTCTTCTTCATGTGCAATTACAAGCTAAAAATATCAATAACGTGAAGTACAATTTATGCTGTGACTGCCCTTTAAAAGTGAGTCTTTCCTTGTCTAATTCAGGTTGAGAATTTCTTCCTCTGGATTCTTCTTATTCTTTTTATTTTTTTGTCTTTATCTTTAATTTATTCAGCATCACATTTTTTGGGGTGAAGCTTTTACTTTCTTTGCATCTGGAAAGTGGTCAGGAAATAGATACTTAAAATATGACTCTCAAGTCCCCAAATTGCTTGCGGCAAGAACCTTCTGGCTTCTGACAGTCAACAGAGTGGTGAAAATGAACCCACAAGACTGCTCATTTTGAGCAGAAGAGCAGACACTCAAACGCGTGAGCAGCACAGACTTTCTCTCTGAAAGCCTTACACTCTGTCCTCAAAGCCACCACCCAGAAATCACCATTACAAGTGATACCAGCAGCTTTCATACAACTCTTTAAAAGGTAAAACAAATATGATCACCTAGTTTACCAACAAACTGGACACGTAAAAATGACTACACAATGTTCATGCAAATCCCAGTTCTAAATAGAAGTCGTTGTTGTTGTTAAGTGCCATCAAGTTGTTGTTAAGTGCTATCAAGTCAGTTCCGATTCATAGCGACCTATGAACCCTACACAGGGTTTCCAAGGAGCAGCTGGTGAGTTTGAACTGATGACCTTACAGTTCAAACCAACCTACGGTCCAGTGCTTATCCTACAGAGCCATACCAGGAGTCCTATAAGTACAAATTGTTGTTGTTTGTTAAGGCCGTTAAGCTGGTTCCAGCCCACAGTGGCACTGCATAGGCTTTCCAAGGAGCAGCTGGTGAGCTTGAAATGTCGACCTTGTGATTCAAGCTGACTTTGCAGTCCAGCTCATTAACCCACACTGCCACACCAGGACTCCCTAAGTACAAGAGGGATTCACAAATGAGAAAGCGGGGACCTATTTTCCCAGGCCCATGAATAAGTGGTCTGACCTTGAAGTTCTACTTTATAATCTTCCTCAAAAGACTAAATAATATTTAATTAATCAGTTTCACTGAAAAATATCCTGAGAAAGAGAAGATTTGTCTGGGAGAAGAGGTCAGTGGACATTGTGAATATGTGGACAATGGTATGAAACTGGCTCTAACTACATGAGAGGCTTGGATTAGTAAGAGTGACTTAATTGTACTCTGTATCTGTGCTCCTTCTCACCCTTCCCTCCCCCAACCTCCTACCCACAGACATAGGAAGACAGAAGTCTGCTCTAGAGAAAACCCTAGGCTGTTAGGAAGAGCCAGAAGAGCTCGAGGACAGGGTCTGGGCCTAATGACCAAACTGAAAAGCACAAAGATGTTGGGCAATTAGCCCATCTTGTTCTGTTTAGGTCAGGGAGGGCTGCCCCAGAGCCCTGAGTCTTTTCAATACACACACTCAGCAGATGACTCAACCTTCATACCACTAAGGCCACACAAAGATGCAGGGGACAAGCCCCAGGGAAGTCTTCAAGCAAAGACCACATGACCATATGGATTACTTGATATCAATGCCTGCACTGGTGAAGAGATGCATCAGCTCTTTCTAAGGGCTTACTTAATCTTGACATTTTATGACTCTAAGAGACAGGAACATGAGATCCAGATGCCAGACCAGAACACACTCCATAAGGACAGGCAGGCTGGCAGAAGGGAAACAGATTGCTTACTTGTGAAAGTCCTCAATGCAGTGAATGAGCCCGCCGGCGTCCACAGTGAATGGGATCCCATCTAGGCTGCGGTGGCACATCACACAGGTGAAGCAGTGAGGATGGTAGGCCTTCCCAGTGGCACGGAGAATCCGCTCCATGATGGGCTTAGAGCACACATTGCACTGCTCCAGAGTATTCTGGGGAAGAAAAGGAGAAGCACCATGTTAGGCTGGGACTTGAGGAGCTTCATTTATGTCGTGATGCACAGCACTGTAAGTGTTTTTGTAAAACACACAGATAGGCTTCTGTACGTATCACAGTACTCTGAGGAGCACAGAGAATACACATTTATTATAAAGAGGAAGAAGCATAATCAGATAGATCAAGTGGCTTTCCAAGGTCACTCAAGTGGTTAAAGTGGCAAATCCAAGATCCAGAACACAAATCTTTTGACTTCTACTCTTGTTCTTTTCCACTATACCAGCAGTCATCAATTTATTATGTATAGGGCCATATGGCCAATATTTTTGGCCTTGCAAGCCAAATGGTCTTTGTCACAGCATCTCAATTTTGCCTTCGTCACACAAAGGCAACACATAATAAATGGGCATGACTGTTCTAATAGAGCTTTATTAATAAAAGCTGGGAGAAGGTTGGATTTGGCCCAAAGATCTTGTTTGTCTACCTTTGCATGACCCCACCCAGCTTCTCCCAATAGGGGATGCTTTGCTGTTACTTCTATCACATGATTAATCAGGTAAGACCTTTCTGGACATCAATGCCTTTAACTCTTTAGAAAATGGTCTGCCTGAACACTCAGCCTCATGTAACATGCCAGCTGCTGAACACAGTCAGAGCTCAGGTTTTAAGAGACTTTTGTGCATTTAAAGCCCCGATTTTCAAAGACCAACTCCCAATTTAGGACTGATAAACTTTTAATAAAAATCCTGAACTTGGAGGGAGTCTAAATTCGAGAAAATCCATTAGGCTGACTTTAAATATGTTGTTGTGGTGGTTATGTGCCAGGGAATCTGTTTCGACTCATAGCAACCTTCTACAGGGTTTCTGAGGCTGTAAATCTTTAAGGGAGCAGAAAGTCTTATCTTTCTCCCACAAAATGGCTGGTAGTTTTGAACTGCTGACCTTGAGGTTAGCAGCCCGATTCGTAACCACTACACTACACAATGAGCTTTAAAATACAAGGTGTTGTTAGGTGTCATCACATAGGTTTCAATCCATAGAGACCTGAACATGGAGTCTTGAAAATGGACAGTGTTGTCAATGGTTCAAACTCACCAGCTTCACCTTGGAAACCCTATACAAGGTCACTATGTGTCAGAACGGACTCAACTACATTTAATACAACAACAACAACCAACCCTGAAAATAATTCCCAAAGTTCTTTCCAAAACACGGATATGACTAAGTAGCTTTCCTGCTACCAAAAAACTTAACTATCTCTGCACTGTGAGAGACGTTAACTTTTTTTATGACCTATAGCCTCAGTTGCCAGACTCAGTTTTTCCTAATTTCTCATTCTTGAAAAAACAGTAAGAAATGCCTATATTTCTGTACCTTGGTTAGTGCCTAGAATGATTTTCAATGTGCCATTTGACTTCTCAAGATTAAGGTCAGAGGGCATCTCCCCACTAAAGCCTTTCTTGGTGCTCTCGGTTGGAATGAAACACTCTTGGCTATCTTTCCTAAACACTGACTTACAGCACTTACTGTAAGCATTTTATTAAAATTATTTGCATATGTGTCTATTTCCTCTATGAGACTGCAATTTCTGTAAGGGCAGGGACTATGTAATTAGAAATGTCTGCTTTTGTCCCATAGTGCATTCAGCATGCTGTGTAGCATAATGATGTATGTGCCAAAAGAATGAATGAAGCAGTACTATTTACATCCAACCCTGGCTGCTTGATGATGGCTTCAACTCCCTGGACTCTGGAATCCATTCCAAGATGGATTGGTAAATCCATCACTATGCTCTCCCCAAAGCTGCGGTTGCCTGAGGTTCTGAAATTGCTTAGTATGCCTCTGGTCACAGTCTAAATGCATGGAAACTATTAACCTATTTCTTTTTCCCATTTTGAAGTGGTGAAATTAAAATAGCAGAAGAACATCCGATGAGAGTCTGCAGATGACTATAGTCTGGACAATGAGAACCCTGCTTCTATTCTACCCTGGTGATCTGAGCTCATGTGGATGGAAACTCTCTGCCCATGGCTTGTGTTTTGCGCCTCTGTGGGTTTTAACCTTTGTGTGTGTGTTTTAAATCAGCCCTGTAATGGAGTTGAACAAACTTGAAAATTCTTGACCAGAAAATGTTTGTTTGTATTGAGGCTTGGCTACAAGATTCATGTCATTTACACAGAACCAGCACCAACACACAAGGGGGCTTTACAAACTGCATGGAGAAATTCCATTGTCTTTCTATTCCATTATTCCATGAACTTTTGGAAGCTCTTTTATAAAGTTTAGTCTGTTTCCAAGGAAAGACTTTATGGTCTATATATAGAATCATTGTTCAAAGGGCAGATAATTTGAACATTTCTACATAGAAAAGACAAGGTAAAACACACCTTAAGTCTTACTATTAGAAAATGTTCCAAATCAGAAAATAGAAGTTCTAAGAACACAGATGATTGGAAACTTGAGCCAGCAAATGGTGAATGATATGTTGATCTTTGGTAGGCAGTTCTCGTTACTATAAACCTCTTCTTTCAGTTTTCAGTACTATTAAACATGTACCAATAAACCTATCTTGTCTTCCTCTGCCTTACAGGAAAGATAGAGACACTTACAATGTCAGGGAGGAAGGTACAAGGGGGGCCTTCTGGGTCAGGCCTAACTTAACAGAAGAGAAAACAGAACTGGAACTGCATCGTGGTATTAAAGGTAGAGGTGGGATTGGTACTCCATTTTCCTGATTTCCAAATAAGAAAGGAATCGGATGCATGCATCACAAAGCAGTAGAGAGCTAAAGTTTCAAATGAAGAATATGAATTTGAGTTTGGGCTTTATCAGCTTCCATTGTTTGACCTTAGGTAAATAAATTCTTCTCTTAAGACATCAGTTTTATTCTCTATAAAGTGATGATTAATTCCATCTCTGTCATTCTATGACTCTATGACATATCAACACTAATCCCAGCAAGAAAATGTTAATGTTTCTACTACCAGGTATATACTAGAACAAGCTTGATAATCTTTATCTAATCCTAACCCTTATACTAATATATCTAGTTTCAATATGCCAGGAAAATCTGAATAAAACTTGTCAAATGCTGAAAAGGGGAATTTGTGTGTTAGGAGCTTGGACTATGTAACCTTCACTATATCTTCCCATTGACAATTTGTAGAGATTGCTAGTGGCAGAATGTCCAGCACCAGAGAGGAAGATCTTGTTTTGTTTTAGTAGATGCATATTTCAAAGCCAAGCAAAAGATGTACTCTTCATAGAAACATGAGGCTTTTCTGATATACGTTAAAATGAAATGGCTAATAAAAAAGAAAGAAGGTCGTCAAAGAAAAAAGTGGAAGAAGAAAGTCTCCAAGTCTATTTGAGTATCAACTTGCTTATGGAGCAGGGATACCGTGTTTGATAGATGTTGGGGTGGTAAGAAGAAAGAACAGAATGCAACTTAGGAACCTTCAATCTCAGCTGCAGAACAATCTCCACTGCTTTTCCCATGGACCCCAGTATCCAGCTGCCACCCTGAGGCAGTCACATCTTTCATAAGCTATGTTCATTCACAAGCTCACACTACCTCACATCCTTCTTTGTCTATAGAACACTTACTTAATCTTCAAAGTGAAGCTCAAAAGTCACTTCTACAAAACCTTTCCTAATTCTCTCTGTTATCTCCCATGATAAACAGGTCACTTCCTCCATCACAATTGCGTGATGCTTCTCCTATGGCACTGAGGACACCGTACTTAATTTAGTGGTTTACGCCAACCTCCATGGTTAAACTGTGACACATGCCACCCCCCCTTGCATTCCATGGAACCATAATATAGTCTAAGTTTGAGTTCCCTAGGAAGCAGATTCCAAAACAAGGTATGCATGCAGGAATTTTACTGAGGACAACCTTTGTGATAAAGCCTGTGGCAATGTGCCAGGAGTAGAATGGACAAAGAAAGGAACTGATACATGGTGTAGTTGCAACAAAGGCCTCAGCTTATCTAATAGAGAACTTTGGAAGTTGGAATGGTCCTAAAGATTGGTCTCTAGGCAGTAGGGCCTTTATACCCCTTGCATCCACCTGTCAATGTAGTGACCAGCAGCATTTCTTATGTACCAGGAGGCAGGAGAAGAAGGCTCTGCAGAGTTCTGGGCACAGAAAAGTGGGAACTCTTTGGCTCCTCTCCTTTAATACTGTGCCCACCACCCCAAGCCAGGAAGAGCTATCCCTAAGTAAGAAGTTTGATTGTGGGTGAAGCGGTTCTCTTCAGCTGAGGGTACTTTATAGAGAGGTTGTTGTTGTTGTTATGTGCCGTGGAGTCGGTTCTGACTCATAGCAACCCTGCACAGGGTTTCCAAGGCTGTATATTTTTACGGGAGCAGAAAGCCTCCTCTTTCTCTGGCAGAACAGCTGGCAGTTTCCAACTGCTGACCGTGAGGTTCTCAGCCCGATTTGTAACCACTACGCTATCAGAGCTCCCAGCTATTAATCACCAGCCTCCAATACTCCCAGCAGTGGGTGAAATGAGAGCCATAGTCCTGAAGGGGCACCTGAAATGGCACCACAACTTTAGTCATCCTTGGCCAGGGCCTACCATAGTCTATGCCATATTATAGCTAATTGGTATCAAGCTGTGGGAGCCCTTATAGCCTAGATACAATGAAAAGTTTAGATTTTATTCTTTATACAGTAGTTGCTGTTGCTGTTCCTCCCACTCTCCGTAGGAAATGTTTAAGGCAGTTGTTTTTGAGTGCCAACGAGTCAGTTCCGACTAATAGTGATGCTGTTTCAGGTTTCCAAGGAGTGGCTGGTATGTTTGAACCACCCACCTTGAGGTTCAAAATGTCCTTGTGATCCAGTGCTTATCCTACAGTGCCACACCAGAGTTACTCAGATAAAAAAATTGAAAGGAAAAGATGTTAGAGGAAGAGTGAAAGGCAAGAAATTATTCAGTAGCTTGTAAACTTCTCGAAATGATGGCAATACAATTGTGACTAAAAACAA